GAAGAGCAGAGGCCAGAGGGAGCACTAGGTGAGTGGAGGTCGAGGCCCTGGGTGGACCTGGGGACAGAGCCCAGGGAGGGGAGGAAGTATTGGTGAGGAAGGGCATGTGGGTCTGGGGGACTGGGTATGGGGCAGTAGGGACAGGAGGTGGGGAAGCTGGCAGGAGGCTATGGAGGTCAGAGAAGCAAGAAGGGAACTGCCCTGATTAAGTTAATAGACAGGAGGTGGAGGAGGAAAGGAATCAGGAGAGATTCCTGGGGTCTACAGTGACTAGACTTTGCGATTGGATGTGGCAGCAGTTGGGCTGTGGGGCTGAGAGAAGAAATGTGGGGCAGCGGAAGACTTAGGATGACCCCTCTTTTGGTACTGGGGAGCCTAGAATAAGGGTTGGGGAGGGATATTTCATCCATGAGATCAGACTTGAAGAGGGAAGAGGAATAGAAAAATAATTGTTTCGTGATGCTGAGGTGCCCTGGGTGGAGTGCTGAGAGTGAGGACAGAGGCGGGGAACGAGGAGAAGAGTGGGGTCCTGGGGTGACTCATGAGGGCTATGGGCAGGGAGAGGGTCCAGCTCAGCCTCTGCACACAAGTGACCTGAGCACATCACCCCACCCTCTGAGTCCCAATCTCTGCATCTCCACAAGGAGAGAGTTCACCCCTCCTCCTCCTGTAGTTGTATGGATTGGATCATGGGCGGGAGAGCACCTGAATCAGATGTCCACATCTTTGAGGACAACTGTGTGTCTCCTGACTGACCTCCTGTTGGGGGACATTAGATACTTTCATTGAGTATGTGTCAGGGCCTCAGCTACTGGAGAAGGGCATCCTGAGGCCACTGGATATTTACTGGTTCAAAGAAGAAGATCTCATCATAGAGTCACACTCACAGCTAAGATTTATTAAAGCAAAGGACCCAAAGCAAGATGGGCAGAGGAAAAGGCACGTGGGGAGACATCCCGAGGAAGCCAGGTGAGAGCTTCCAGGAGCCTCTCCAGTGGACTCACATGGGATCACTCAAGTCCTTACTAATGAATTGGGACAATTCTAAGGTTATCTACCTTAGAAGATCCCCAGTGTAGAAGTCCAGGGTCTCAGTCCAGGGAGAGTCACCTAGTTCCTCTCTGCCTGGCATGTACTGAAGCCATAGACTCCCAGAAGGCAGGCAGCATGCAGTGTAGACCACATTGTTCATACAGAGGGTTTAGACATGATGAGTCATTGTGATCACTGAGGGCAAGGTTTACCTGCCCAGTTCCCAGACTCAGCCTACAGCCAACCTTGTGAGTAGGTCTCCCTAGGGATGCCTGTCTCTGATCTGGTATGTTAAATCCTTGTGTGTAAGATACAACGATTCCAAGTATGTGGGCATCCACAGCCTCAAAACTGTGGAGGAAAAAAAGTCTGAAAAATCGAATAGGCAAATAAATAGTTGCAGTTGGAGACTTGACTTTCCTCTCACATAACTGATAGACCTCATGGGAGGAAACCATCAAGGACTCAGAAGAACTGAACATCACCACCAAGTAATCGGACCTAACTGACATTCACTGACCACTTCACCCACAACAGCAGAACACACACTCCTTTCAAGTGCCCAAGAACCTATGCAATGTGCTCTTGTTCTAGATAATGAAAAAATAAATAAACCTTACAAATTAAAAAACTGGAAATCGTCCAACATATACTTTCTCACAAAAAGAGGATTAAACTAGAACTCAATAACAGAAGCATACAAGAATAATCTCCAATACTTGCAGTTGGACAACATGCTTCTAAATAACCCAAGTATCAAATAGGAATTCTCCATGGACACTAAAACGTATTTTAAATGACCCCAAATCACAATGCAGAAGATCAACATCTGCTAGTTATAGCTAATGCAGGACTGAGAAGGAACTTTATAGAACTAAATGCAGAAAACTGAAAGTCAGGATACTGAGTTTCCATCTGAAGAAGTTAGAAAAGAGTAAATAAGTGCAAAACGGGTCAGAAGGAAGGGAAATGAAGATAAGAGCAGCAATCCGTACAATGAGCAACAGAAAGGGAGAAAATCAGTAGCTCCAAAAGCTGGTTCTTTTAAAAGAGCAAAAGATAAACCTCTAGTGAGACCGACAGAGGCATAAAGGAAAATGACACAGAATGCCAATGTTAAGAGTGAAGGAGGGGCTTTCAGACAAGGTCTGGCAGATATCAAATGAGAAAAAATAATATCACAATTAAAATTGAGCAACTTGGATTAAATGAACTAATTTCTTAAATATCACCAACAACCAAAATGCATTTAGATGAAATAGATACTCTGAATAGCTCTACAAGTATTGACTGGGGTGCATTTTTGTTTATAATCACTGAAAAAGAAAGATCCAGGTTTACATGGCTGGCCTGGAAAAATGAGGAGGAAACATTCCATGAAACTATTTCAGGAAACAGAGAAAGGAACCTTCATCTCATCCATTTACAGTAAGATCCCAATCTGACAGCTGAGCATTAAAAAAATAAACCCAGAGATCAACATCTCTCATGAACACAGAGGTAAAAATCCTCAAAAAACATCAGAGGATCAAACTGAGCTCTTTTCAAAAGGAACACTCCAACATGACCGCATGGACTTGATCCCAGGAACCCAAGTGTGGCTGGATCTTTGAAAATCAAATATGCAATATGCCATGTTAACAGCATATGGAACAGAAGTCACATGGTCATATCAACTGATGCAGCAAAAGCCTTTGACAAAATTCAACACTCATTCAAGATGTTAAAAAATTCTCAGCACCAATGGAAAAAAATACAAATAAATAGAAAGAAATCCTGAAGAATAGAGGAAGGGAAACAGGAGGAGGGGAAATACCAGGGAAATATGGTACCTACATACATGAATATGTCACTATGAACCCCACTTCATGTATAATTATAATTTATGAATGAGCACATAAAATAAGAAAATGACAATAAACTATTGTTTTTCCATTAAAAATATAGTTGGTAAAGTGTCACTAATGGTCTAAATCCAACAAATCTCAGAAAATTAGAACTGGAAGATCACCTCCCCAACTTTTAAAGGCCATCTACGAAAACCTACAGCTAACTGTAAATAACTGAACAAATGAAATACTCAGCCACAAATCTAACAACACACATATACTGAAAACTCAAAATTCTGATTGAAAAAAAAGCAAAGACCTAAATAAATGAAGAGACACGTCACCTCCTGGATCCAAAGACCCATCACAGGAAGGTCAGTTCTTCTCAGGTTGGTCTGCAGAGCCAGTGAGATGCCAAACAAAACCCCACAGAATGATCTGCAGATCTGAACAAGATGATTTTAAAATGCACATGAAAAGGCAAAGCAGCAAGGGGCTGGGAGCTCAGCATGTGAGAGGCTCTAGGGTCGATCCTCAGCACCTCATAAAAATAGATAAATAAATAAATAAATAAAATAAAGTTTTGTATCCATGTAGAACAGAAGTTACTTTATTTTTTTAAAGGCAAAGAAGCAGGAATTAAAATAATAAAGTGATAAGAAGTTATCATGGGGAAAAAGGAAAAAGGACACAGCTCTTCCCTACTCTGGAGTCCCCTATCCAGAGCAACTAGAAAAGCAGGCAGTAGGTTTATGCTTCTGGGAGAAGTGGCTCAGGCTGTCTCCACTGGAGCCCAGGGGATGGGTCCTTGTCTCCAAGGCCAACTCCTCACTTGGTTGCTCTTGGGCCAGAGGACTCAGGAAGCTGCGGAAAAGGAAGGCTTGTGAGGACGTGAGCAACCTACTAAGTGCCTGGAAGGTGGTAACATCCAAGGGTAAGTGTCGGGGCTCGCTGGCGTCACCTCTCAACCACTCCTTCTGGCAAAATGCCAGGCACCATCCCGACTCGGCTGTGGCTCTCAACACATGACTACATTCTAATTAGTACTTCTTCAACCCTGAGTCCTAGCTAACTGAGACAAGGTCCAGGTTAAATGGACCTTAACATTAATGGACCTCAACATGGGGCTCCTATTCTCCAGGGGCAATACCATGGAGACCAGATAGCGCCTGCATAGTTGTCCTTTTAGCTCAGAGGGAGAAGGCTGGGCACCCCAGTTCTGGAATCAGGGCAAACCTGTGAAGGACAGTGCTACAGCAGCCGGGCATCCTGTGCTTTTGCACAGGAGTTTCCCAGTCGCCAGGTACTACCTAGCAGCCAGGCATTCTATGTCTTTGCACAGAAACTTCCTAGTCACCAAGCATGTCACAATCACGAAGTTTGTAGACCCCAGTCCCAAACATGGAATTCCCACACAGAGAGCCACTCCACACCAGGCCAGCACAGGAAGACCAGAGCTACACACCCAGCCACAGCCGCCCTCCACCTTTCCCGGTGTCCTCTCCCACCCCCGTGCCAGGACCACTGCCTGCCTACCCTGGTCTCACTCCATCATATGTCCCCGGGGGAACTGTATTAGAACACAGACTTGGAAGGGATCCCTAAACTGAAGCCACAGCAGCTGGGAAATCTAAGATCAAGATATGTCAGACAAGGTGTCTAGAGACCTTCTTCCTGGAAGGCAGTTGGTCCCCTTGTCACTGGGGCTGCACATGGCAGAGGGAGGGAAAGAGAGCTCTGGTCTCTCTTCTTCTTCTTAGAGGGACACTAATCCCTGGATAAGAGTTCCACTCTCACCACCTCCTGACCCTAATCACACCACCTCCGAACACCATCACGTTTGGCAACAGCATATGAATTTTGGGTGGGAGGGGACACAAACGTTGACACCATAGCATTGTGCAATCAGCTCTTTAATAGAATTCATACCATGCAGCGTTTCCCTCAGAAAACAGCTTCCTATGCTTTGATTGAGCCGCAATCAAATCATGAGCACTTAAACCAAGTGCTCATGATTACAAAAGAGTGAAACCTGTAAACCAAACCATTTCCACTGGCTTGATCAAACTCCCCCCAGGTAACTGGTGCCGCCAAGATAAAGCCTTGCATTTACTGCTTTTCCCGCTTGCTTCTGTACAGCATCATCCCAATGAGGCCAGCAACACCCAGGACAACTGATGCAGTACCAATCACAGTGAAGGTGTCAGTCACCTGCAACAGAAGACAAGGGGGCGGGGTCACATCAGGAGTCTGAGCAGAGATCCTTGTCCAAGGAACCTGCAGGTCAGGAGAGACCCATGATCCCTGTCCTCTTCACCACATCACAGAGGAAACAGTTACTGGCAGGGAGGGGGGATCCCAAAAGGTCAGGCCACCCAGGAGAGAGGACAGGAAGTCCCTGGTCAGGAAGGAATGAATGCAGGACTGAGTCTCAGTATGAAAAGGGAGTCTCAAAGGAGGAAAGCAAGATGCAGCCTAGAGGTGTTTAAAGCATGATAAACCCATGGGGTGGCTGTGGGAAGGACAGAGTGGCAGGGCTCAGATGTTCTAGGTCAGGGGTGGCCGATTGGGAGCCTTGAAGCAGGTGCCAAGTTGGGAAGTGACCCCTGTGAACTCCCACTGCCCAGGGCTTGAGGACAGGGACCCACCTAGGTGTTCTTGGTGTCCCTGGTGCTCAGCCCACTGCCTGGCACAGGTGGACCCTGGTGACTTAGCTGCTGAGCAAATGGTGGACTGGGAGCAGCGCTGAGGACAGGCTTTTGTGCAGTGAGAGGCCTTGCTTGTGTGTGAGAGGGAAGGGGTCCTGCTGAAGGACAGAGTGGGGACGTGAGGGGGACCTTGATGGTTGCTGCTTCAGTGTGAGCTGACTGACATGGCCAACCACCACCTGGGGTCCCACCTTGCACACGGGTGGAACTGAGGCAGGGGGGCCACAAACACCATAAGAATGATGGGGCTGGGGCTGGGGCTCAGTGGGAGAGCACTTGCTAAGCATGTGTGAGCCATTGGGTTTGATTCTCAGCACCACCTATAAATAAATAAAGGTCCATCAAGAACTAATAAAATATTTTTAAAATGGCTTTTTTCTCAGTTACTTACTGTGCTGGTCGTTTGACAGCTTCTGTATTTTTCTTAGCCCTCCCAACAACCCTGTGAGATTGGCTTTCTAATTCCCATCTTCCAGTTGGTGGTGACTGACGGTGATGAATGGAGAGACCTCACTCAAACCACACAGCTGGCAAGGGACAAGGCTCAGTTCTGCTTATGCCTTCACAGCCAGGGAAGGAAACAGTGAAATCAGTGACCCAAGGACAGATTTCTGGGGAGCAGCACCATGTGCAGGTGGGAGAAGAGAAAGGGCAGCAGTGCACCATCTTATCCACAGACACTTGGATCACCTCCATGAAGCTGGACACTAGTCAAAGCAATGACCAGAATCTTCATTCAGTCACCACTGGCAGCCAGCCTAGCTCCATTACAATTTTTGCAGTTAATAAGTATTTCCAAGTGAGATGAGCGTGCAGGGGGGGGGGGGGGTGGGTGTCTTTAGAGTCAGGGAGGTGACAAAAAGTGACAAAGGGTGGTCTCTGTAAATGCAAGGAGGCCCCCTGAGTGTGCTGCCTGGCAACTAATGAAGTTTGGATTGTGTCGTCTGATGGAGATGGCAGGAGGCCCTGGCTTTTCTGATGAATATATTCCGAAGGCATGACTCTCAGACCTTGGAGAATGACACTTCTGAGTTGTAAGACTTCTATCTATGTCTATGTGATCTTCCTACCTATCAATCTGTACCTCATAGAATCAGAGGAAGGATTCATAATTATAAGTCCATTTTAGTAAATGCACTAAGACGGAAGGCCTTGGGTCTATCATCTGCTGCTGTTTGGAAAAAAACAATAGCACATTCTCATGAAAGGCAGAACTTTCTCAAGCAGGCATTTGAAGAGGGATTGGGAAGTTCCTTGGGACAGAGCTTCATGTCGCCAGGGACCATGCTAGAGGTTAGTGGTCTATCAGAGCAAATTGTGGACAGAGTCACAAGGGGCCCAGTGTTCTGCAGTGCCCACAGCACACTGTGCACAGAGAGAGAAGGAGAAATAGAGCTGGAGACGGGCAGAGGAGGAGCTTCCTATGGAGACAGGGCAGAAGGGAAGGAAGGAGTGAGAGGGAGAAGACAGGCGAGTCATTGAGATACCTGCAGAAGAGGTTCCCAAAGAGGGACCCCAGGCCAGGGAGAAACTAAATGGCACAGCCACCACTGAGTGCCCCAGCCTTGCTTAAGTTGAACTCTCAGAACAGCAGAGAGCCAACCACCCCTAAAACACCCGGGGGGTGGGGACTGATCCTTGGGTTGTTTGTACAACCTTTGGAAGTGGTTTAGATGCATTACAAGGCAGCCCACCACACCACACGTAGCAGCAAACCACCAGACATATGTCTACCCTCCACAGCTGACAGGAGGGGAACCCATTCAGCAAGGTCACAGCAACAAAGCAGGTCTCACTGCACCCCAGTGCCCAGAGCTGACTGGCGTTCCCACTATCAGCCTGGGCTGGGGCCCTCACTTCCAGAAGGTATGGGTTTTCCCTGCGCACCTCCCCTCTTCACCACAGCCCTTCTCCTACCTTACCAAAGGAGAGCCAAACCCTCCCCTATCCTGAATTATGGGGCACAGGCCAAGGTGAAAAATACCTGGACACCAAGAAGGGAGGATTCAAGAATGCATTGCTCCCCAAAAAGAGGGCTCCCCAAATAATACACAGCCCTGGGGAGGGAGGCCTCCTGCCAGGTCCACCACCCACTGATATTAGGATACCAAAGGGAGGTGGTGTCATGGCCATGGGCATGAGCACCTTCTACTGAACTAAAAAATTGTCCTTTTGTTTTTGATTTTGGCACTGAGGATTGAACCCAGAGGCACTTAATCCCTAAGCCACATACCCAGTTGTTTTTGTATTTTATCTGGAGTCATGGTCTCACTAAGTTGCTTAGGTACTCACTAAATTGAGGCTCTGAGTTTGTGATCCTCCTTCCTCATCCTCCTGAGCTTCTGGGATTACAGGTGTGCACCAATGTGCCTGGCAATCTATCAGTTTCTGGCTAGAAAAATTATCTGATTTGACTGACACTTTTACAATGACACCTGGCTTGACAATTGAAATTATATCAAAGGCATTATTCGGTCATTAAATAAACTAATTGTGAAACACCAAGGTTTTCAAGAAAATCTATGCTGGAATCACAGATGTAAAATGCAAAAAAATTCCATTCTGTACATATCTTCCACATTCATGATTTTGGAAATGTTTGATTTTCAAATAAAATGTCCAACAAAATGTCTTTTTTTTTTGGGAGGGGGTGTTGGTAATAGAACTCAGGGTCGCATGCACATCAGGCATGTGTTCTGCCACTGAGCTACATACAGCCTCAGCACTTGAGTTCTTTTATGAAGACTTGTAAAACTATATCCAATTGGTCAAATCTAGCCTGTCATGTGTTTCTACAAAAATGAATAATTGAAAAGAAATCAAGTTTTATTGGAAGATAATAGCCTCATGTGTGTCAATGGCTGCTCTCAGGCTACAGAGTGACCCTGGCAGAGTAAGGAGAGGGACCAGGTGGCTCAAGAAAACTGAAGTGTTTCCTGTTGACCTTGTGCAGAAAAAATGAGCCCAACATGACCAGGGTCCCCTTCTCCTGGACTCAACTGCTCACTCTGCCAGCTTCCCTGACCCTTTCTCACGGGCAATCTCCAAGTCAGGTTGCACTGCCAGCCCTCAGCAGGTGCCCAGCCCCTGTCAGCTGGGAATGGACTGGTCTCAGGGAAGGGGACACAGGCTGAGGACACACCTGGTCACTGCGGGAAACTCCATAGCGCAGTGTGTTCACAAAGTGCTCACAGTTGTCACTTGTCACTGAATAAGGGACTTCCTTCCCCACCATTTTCTCTGCCTGCTTGACAATTTTGTTGGATGGCAGTGGGTCATACTTGTCATCGTGCTTGTTATTGACCCGGTACTTGTCTCCTCCAGCCACCACGGACAGCAGCTCCTTCTTCACTATGGCTCTGTCAGCCACGATGGACATGATGCTGCTCATGCCAGCTCCTGCCACTTCACCTGTGGAAACAGTGGACTCAGGCCTGGGCAGGGCCACAGTGTCTCAGAGCTGTCCCCAATCAAGACAGCCTCACTGCACATTGGGAGAGAAGTGGTTTTCAGGAAGTTTTGTCCTCCTCCCCTGGACAGCGTCTTCAACAAGTGCTCCTTCCCAGCTGGAGCGGCGCTGGTAAGCAGCCATCCACCCAGGTGTGTCTCTGGACAGCTATTATGTCTGTATTGCTTCCCCCTATATCTGGGAAATCTTAATGTCATGGGACCTGACTTGGTAGATCCTTGATTTACTCTATTGTTAATTCCTTTCATATGATTCATAATGGCAGATAGGGGAATCCAGTGTTGAATGACGCAGAAATAAAATTAGAAAGTGAAAATGAAACCTTCCAATATACTATTCAGAAACTCATGGAAACCATAGTTGAAATCAATGGAAACTCTGTGAGTACATGGAGTGTTTCTGTAGTAGTGTTTCTGTGTACACGGTAAGACCAATATTCAGGGCATATCTGGAGAATGAATAAATCATATTTAATTGAGGTAAAACTTGTCAAGATTTTTATCACATTTGTAAAAATGCCTTATGCTTTTACCTGGTTTAAAGCAATGCCATTTAAGCTGGCATTGTGCCAATGCCAAGATGCCAAGATTAATCACGATATTCCTAATACACTTGGTGGTGAGTAATGAAATCTACCTGGAAACACACACACTCTCTCTCTCTGTCTCTTTCATATTGGACTATTCTTTATTTGTGGTAATAAGATATACAAAGATTTCCAATGCTAAGGATCTGGATGCTGCAGCCTGGGATATCTCTCACCCCCAATAACAGCATATGACTTTGGAATGACCAACAAATTCTCACCTTGAGATCATTATGCATAAAATATTCCTCCGTAAGTGATCTTTTCAAGAAACTTCCAAAGCTGATCATGAAGAGAAACTCTGGATGTTATTTTTGTTAGCACACTCTCCCCTTAAGTGGGAGTTTCTGAATTTGAACAATCCATGAACAATATTTCTACAAGGCCTGGAAAAAGTTCTACCTGTACATAAATTCTCTTTAAGGAAGACAGCCTGACATAAGCAGTTTAGCTTCCATACTCCATAATGAAAGGGTCCTGGGTAGCCTAACTGCTCAACAGGAAGGAATGGAACACTTATTGGGGAAAATGCTGCTTCTAAGATAATAAACCCAGGTTTGTAGCCCAGAATCTTAAAGATCTAAAGGATGGATCCAGGTACATCATGTGACCAAGGAGATGTGATCAGTGGACCCACCTCCCAAATCAATTGGTTAACTCTGGGCTCCTAGAGACCTGGCTCTGGAATGTTCTCCAGGCCCTTGGTATTATTCTCCACCTTGTTGCACTAACAACATTCCCTACATGTGGCGTATCCTCAAGAGACATGAACTTTGTCAGCAGCCACGTGCTCTTAAGATGACCTCTATGAGCACTAAGCCACCAAAACTGTATTCACAAAAACAATGTGAAGTATCTGCGGAGTCCTGGTTTACCATCTAGGGCATCCCCTGAAGGACAAACATCGGGAGACGAAGTATAATCTTGGGGATTAGTTCCATTTCTGGTCCAACTGACAGATTGACCAACGGAGGGAATTGTTAAACAGAAATGTGAATGAGGCCACAGATTGAATGTAGACCAAAACCATAGCTAGGCATGGTGTGGGGTGCCGCAGTCTGGCTGGGCAAAATAACTGGGGGGTGACAAGCAACTTGTGAAGGTTGATACAGCGGGAGCCGTTTTATTATGGGACAGCAAAGGTATATATACACATAACTGATTATACACAGCATGTTTCAATTAACATCATCCAGATACAGCAATCCTCATCATCTTAACAATTATACACAGCTTAATTCAATTAACATCATCTAGATACAGCAATTAGCCAATAAGGAACCTCTATCATCTCAATGGCTAGCTGGTGTTACTTCATTTTAATAATTATACACAGCTTAACTTAATTAACATCATCTTAATGGCTCCCTGGTGTTACTTCTCAAACCACTCCTTCTGGCAAACTGCCAGGGGCCATCTTGACTTGGTTATGACTCTCAACAGTGGGGCACCTGCCTGTAATCTCAGACACTCAGGAGACTGAAGCACAAGGATGTGAGTCTGCGGCCAGCCCGAGCAACTCAGTGAGACCCTGACTCAAAATAAAATAAAATCAAAATAAAATCTTAAAAGGGCTGGGGTACAGCTCATGGTTAGAGCACCCTGGGTTCAATCCCCAGGGCTTCAGCCAAACAAAACAAACCAACAAGAACAAAGGGCCCACCTCATGCAGACCTAACTGGACACTGTCCTGATTTCCCCAGAGCCAGCTCTAACCCAGACAGACCTCCCTCTCCAGCTGTGAGCAGGACCTTGCTGCTGTCCCAGGGGTTGGACACCAACCAGGGAGCACCCGCAGCAGCACAGCCTAAGGGGGGCAGGTTCCTAGTGGCCAGGCTCAGGGACAAATGCACTCCCTCAATGATGCTTTAACAACTGAGTTTGAGCACTGCTGTGAGCTGAGCTCTTTGTCATTTTCTGTTCAAAGTC